AGTACTATTCTAATTTCTTTTTCTTTTTCTCAGCTGATCTTAAAACAATTAAAGTGAAAATCACAGTCTGTATCTTCTTTCTTCAGTCCTTGTCTATCACCTAATACAAATTTAAAAAAAAAAAAAAAAAAAACCTGCTGGATCCAATTAGTGCTGCAATATGTGCATGGGTGTGGCGTCATCCACTGGGGCATGGGCAGCTTACCAGTAACACCCCCCCAAAGAAAATTGACTCCTCCCTCTCCTAGTAGCCACAAACTGCCAATAGCCTCCAGCAGCCTTCCCTCATCCATGCTATAATTCTTTTATTTTTTATTTTTTTAAATTATTTTTTAATATTTTATTTATTATTTTTATTTTATGTGTATGCGTGTATTGCCTGCATGTAGGTAAGTGCACCCATGTCGTGCAATGCCCTCAGAGGTCAGAAGAGGCTGTTGGATCCCCTGGGACTGGAGTTAACTGCCATGTGGACAGTTGTTAGCTGCCATGTGCGTGCTGGGATTTGTACCTGGGTCTTCTGCAAGAACAACTAGTGTTCTTAACCACTGAGCCATCTCTCCAGCCTCCACCATCCTGTAATTCTTAACTGGCTTGATCTTGTACAGGTCTTGTGCAGGTAACTGCAGCTGGTGTGAGTTCATGTGTGCCACAGCCCTGTCAGAGAACAGCAGTTCAAAGCATTCTTCCTTCCCCAGCCTCTGGCTCTTACCGTCTTTCTGGCCCTTCTTCAACAATGTTCCCTGAGCCTTGGTGGGGGCCATTCATGTGAATATCCCATCTGTGCCTGAACACCCACAGTCGCTTATTCTTAGCAATTTCATCAGTTGTGTGTCTCTGCATTGACCACTACTCACTGCAATAAGAAACTCCTCTGGCCAAGGATGAGAGCAGCACTAATCTAGAAATATAATCTATAAACATAAATATTTAGAAGGCAGTTTGACAACCTGACCATTTGGCAAAACATCAACAGATTTTCCCCTTGGGCCTATGACTTTCCAGGCTTGCGTTTGTTTATTTAATTTTATGTGTATCAGTGTTAAGCCTGCAAGGTGTGTTACGTGTACCATGTCATGCTGTACCCTTGGAGGACAGAAGAGGGTGTTGAATCCCCTGGAACTGCAGTTACAGACAGTTGCTAGCCACCATGTGGGTGCTGGAAATCAAATCTGGGTTTTCTGCTATAACAGCCAATGCTCTTTCTTAATCGCTGAGCCATCTCTCTAGCCCCCCACCTCCCGCCCCTGCCCGGCCTTGGATTTTGAGCATGTTTTCAGTACCAGGAATGAATTCCATCCTGTGGCTCAGACCTGAAATCCAATGAAGAGAGTGGTTGGTTACTCCCATTAACAGTCTTGCCACTATTGTAGCAGTGGGCACAGGTTGGCAGGGTCTTGCTCTGTGTATGACCATAGATGCCTTTTCTCTCCCAGTATCCAGCTTGATGAAAAGTAACCAGTAGGGAAAGAATTTCCTGGTCAGTTCAAGATAAATTTCTTTATATCCTGCAACAAAAGAGTGTAGTGTCTTCATTAATCGAGTCTTATCATCTAGTCATGTGGGCAACCAAGAGCAATGACAATAGCCTATATCGTTTTGAGTGCCTCAGGGCCCTCTCTGGCCAATAACTCAGGTAATCTTTGCCTGGCACTGAGATTTTCATTTAATAACCCTTGTCTTCTGGGAGCAGCATGGTTCACCTCTGTAGGGTTCAAACTCCTTAAAAAATTAAAAAAAAAAATTATGTGTTTGTGTGTGAGTATATGTGCATCACATGCATGTGGGAGCACTGAGGCCAGAAGAGGTCATTGAATCTCTTGTAAACTGATGTCACAGGCAGTCACCATGTGGGTGCTGGGAACCAAACCCAGATCCTCTGTAAGAGCAGTAAACACTCTTAACTGCTGAGCCTTGTCTCCAGCTCCAAACTCCTTAAAAAAAAAAAAAAAAAAAAAAAAAGATTGTATTTTTAATTAGCTCACACACTAGTAGAGAGAGGTTCGTAAGACTTCTTCGTGCCTTCTTAGTTTTGGTTAATCCTCCCCCATCCCTCCATTTCTACAACCCCCATTTCTACATCCCCTTCTCCTATTCCCCTCTTAAACCTTCCCTCCCAGTCTCTCCCCCCATCAGTTGATGAATTACAATTTGACTTGGGGAGTCTTGCTTCTAGGCTGAAGTAGAATTGGGTTGCA